GTTTCTGTGATGGTTTCCAAACTGGTCTCCCTGCCTTCCCTCTTGCTTCAATTTATTCTCAACCCAGAAGCCAGAACAAACTATTCAAACATGAGTCAGATCACCCCCACTCCTCTGCTCCTAACGCCTTACACAATGGAATACTATTCAGCCACGAAAAAGGAAATCCTTCCATTTGGGATGACATGGATTGACCCTCAGGGCATTATGCTAAGTAAGAGAAGTCAGACAAATAAAAGGAAGTACTGTATGATCACTTGCAGTTAGAATCTAAGAGAGTTGACCTCACAGAAACAGAAAGTAGATTGGTGGTTGCCAGGGGCTGGGAGTGGGGGAGGGGGATACGGAAGTGTTGGTCAAAGGGTGCAAACTGCGGGTTCTGATGAATCTCATGGACAGCATGATGACTATGGTTTGCAATCCTGTATCATGTACTTGAAAGTTGCTAAGTGAGTAGATCCTGAATGTTCTCACCATGCACACACCAAATAATTATGTGAGTTGGTGGAGGTGTTAACTGATCATATTGTGGGAATCATTTTGCAATAGATAAGTGTCTCAAATCATCATGCTGTACAGTTAGAACTTCCACATTGTTATATGTCAATTATAGCTCAATAAGGCTGGGGGGTGGGAGGACACCCTCTACAGGCTTTCTACTTCACTGAAAGTTAAAAAACAGATGGAGCACAGATCTGAAGGTGAATGAGTTAACCATGTAACTATCTAAGGGAAAGAGTCCTGGGCAGAGGCAAGAGCCAGAGCAGAGGCCCTAAGACAGGAACATGGTGGAGAGTCTTGGAGCTGAGGTTACAGACAGTAGCAGACCACACACAGGGGTCCTGTGGGTCAGTTTAAGCTAAAAATTTTGAAAGAAGTTACTTATGTGGGGTGGGAATTGGGATAGAAGGGGTGTGGCAGAGAGACTTACCTTTAACGTTAAAAGTCTTATATGACAGGGTGCCTGGGTGGCTCAGTAGGTTAAGCATCTGCCTTCAGCTCAGGTTCTGATCTCAGGGTCTTGGGTTCGAGCCCCACATCGGGCTCCCTGCTCAGTGAGGAGCCTGCTTCTCCCTTTGCCTGTTGCTCCACCTACTTGTGCTCTCTCTCTGTCAAATAAATAAATAAAATCTTAAAAAAGAAAAAGCCTTGTAGAACTATTTGACTTCTCAAGGTATATGTATGACTTTGATAAAAATAAAAAGTTAATAAAGAATTTTAAAACACTGACATACAAAAGAAAAATATAGAAACTAAGGGAAAATCTTGACAGATGGCATTTGTCAGCATGTAGTGGGAGTTACGCTTTTTCTCTTAGCAGATGGATGGACATTCTTATAACCAAACTCCGTGATTTCTCAGTTATCATGATTTTAAATAACACCCATCGATTTAAATTTTTATCTTTGAGCAGCCCCTGGAAGGTAAGGGATATTTAGTCAGTGTCTTCAGCATTTAGCAAGTGAAATGGCAAACTGACAAATTCTAGATCTTGTGGTCTTCAGAGAAATAGAAATGGAAAAGGAAAGAAAGGTTTCAACAGTATTTCCTTTCTTTCACTTTCATTTTTATAAAAAAATCACATTAGTGGGCAGAATGTGAAACACGTGTGATTTTTAAGAATGCAGAACAGATCATGAAAAGAATGTAGGCATTGATTGAGTGTTTGCTTCCACTGACACCTCAGAGGGATTAACATTTCTCAGGACGTGGGGGCCAAGCCCTGGCAGGTTCCTTCACAAGCGAGGTGGGTAGTTGAGTGACTCCGAACACCCACTGTCCTCGGAGAAACAGAGTCTCGCCTGGCACCAGAAGCAGGAGAAATGCAGTGCTGGAGCACACAGCAAGGAGAGCTGCACAGACTTGTCTTCCTGCAATTGCACGCGTTCAATGAAAACCTCTCCCCTCACCTTTCTGTATTCGAAAAACTGTCATCATAGGAGAATTTTCAAGGTGAATTACTAACCATTTAATTGTAAAGCAAAAATGTTTTCATGTGTATTTTTCTCCCCCACTGTGGAGTTTCCTTTTATAAATTGCATTCTCTTTTGTTAATGAAAGGACTAAACTGGACATAGAGATGGCTTGTTGCCTAAAATACCAAGAATAGTGTCCCAACAGGCCAAAGCTTTGCAGGAGCCACAGAAAATTAATGCTCTGGAAGCCCGCAGAGAGGCACGCGGGGTTACTTACAGATTCCTGGGTGCCAGCAGCAACAAATAGGGGAAGGCGAGGGTGGGAATGTTTCCTGTTTTAGCACCACCATCAGCCTATTACAGCAATTCATTTTAAAGACTAGATGTACATAGTAAGCCCAGGAAGCAAATGATTATTCCTCTAGAAATGGTGGGAAAATAGGACTAAGTTTCTTATATTTGGTTCTAATCAGTAAGAAATGAAAGCTGTTAAAATTATTTACCATAGATTCAGGCGTTAGCGCTTGCAGATCCTCATGCAAATTCCTCAAAAGCTGTCATGTAGATGGTAGCTGTACCTGCGGGGAGCTCGCACAGCATACCGAGTAGGATCACCATGTTTTATGCCTGAAAATAATGTAACGTGTGTCAACTAGACTTGAATTTTTAGAAAAAGTATTAAAAATTTTCCCCCAAAATTCTGAATGATAAATAGAAAAAATATAGAAGCATTTAGCATATAAAAGACCCAGTCCCTAGAACTCCCAACAGGGGGAGCTATTGGAACTCTCTCAGGGTTGGAGGGACGGTTGTGCACCATAGTAAATGTATTTTTGAATCTGAAAGTAATTATAGATTTTTTAAAAATCTGCTGATATTATAGGTAAGTCCTACATACCACTCACCTAGTTTCCCATATTGTTAACATCTTATTATGTTTATAAAAGCTAAGAAAACAGCATTGATACATTACTATTATCTTAAAAAACCCCACCCGTCATGCAAGAATTTTCATAATTACAAATCTACAAAGTCATTAAAAGACCCTACCCTAAATTAACATCTTGCTTCCTTCCCATTACTACTCAAGGTAGCTCTATTTCATTGGTCTTTAGGGATAATGCAAAATCAACGATAAATGTGGTTAATACTTTGAGAGGCACATTTTGTGCTTTTAAAAATTAAGTCATTATAAAATTTGTCCCACATTGTGTATGTTCTGACCAGTGCTTTTCAAACTTTTTTTCGCTATTACTCTTTAAGAAATAAGTTTTATACAGTATCTGCACATACATACCCCAAACCAAAACAGGGGTCACACGCAAAGACCCTTACAACGACATGTGATATACACTGGTATTTTCCTTTGAATTCTGTTCTCTTCCATTCCATTAGGAAAATTGCTGGTAAAGACCCCCAGTTTCTTCATTAATGGATCAAAAAAAAAAAAAAACACCCCACTTTAGATCATTGATCAATTTCTTACTATTTTGTTCCATAATTAAAAACACCAAAATTTAGAATCCTAGGTTACCAGATAATCCCTACTAGATAATGCCTTGTGTTCTGTTTTTATTCTATGGCATTATCTAATGACAAAACAAATCTGTTATTATATTGCCATGATTTCTAAATTTACTATTTTTAAAGCTATCATAGACAACCCTCTGGAAACACTGGCCAAATCCTTGTCATAACTGGTCTCTACTGAAACAAGGTCCGGGGAGGCACAGGCACAGGTATCAAGCAGAACTTTTTGAAAGCTCCAATCACCCAGCTGCCCTAAAATGGTGGGGTCTGTGAAGACATAATGCAGACAGATTCTTAGGTTACAATCGAAAAGAGAGAAAATCCAAAAGTGCAGATTTAGTACCATCTTCCTTCCACAGGAGACTTCAGATTTGCTGAAGCACACTTTGCAAGTAGTACTTGTTTTCCTCTGTAGCTTTAATTTCGATTATTTTACTTTCGAGAAGTTCTATTTGGTTCTTTTCCAAACCTGCTTGATGAGTTTTCCTTTTTTTTCAGATTTTATTTGACAGAGAGCCAAGGGAGAGCAGAAGGGGGGCAGGGGGAAGGGCAGAGGGAGAGGGAGAAGCAGGCTCCTTGCTGAGCAGAGAGCCCGACTTGGGGCTCCATCCCAGGACCTTGAGATCATGACCTGAACCAAAGGCAGACGCTTGAAACGACTGAGCCACCCAGGTGCCCCTGCTTGGTGAGCCTTAACAGTTTCTTAGACTCAATTCCTCTTAACATCAGAGTCTGTGTCACATCAATATATCCTTGAAATGCTTATTCCCCGAAGCTTCCCTGCAGCAGGCTGTCTGTCCTGCTGCCACGGGCTGTGGCTTTTGTGAGCGTACATTCCAAGCATTCCACGTGCAGGGCTTTCTTTGGAGGTCTGGCTTGAAGGTGCGTTGATACGTGGTCATTTCAACTAGTTGCCCAGAGGCTCCATCCAGTTGGCCCCACTTTTTAATTTTTATTTTACTTTTTAAGTAAACTCTACACCCCACCTGGGACTTGAATTTACAACCCCGAGATCAAGAGTTGCACGTTCTACCGACTGAGGCAGCCAGGTGCCCAGTTGGTACCAGTTTAAAATAAAATCCTGGCTTGAGGGGCATTTTTTTTTTTTTAAGATCATTCATATGGGGCAGAATTTGAGCTGAAATCCAAGTGTGATGTAAGCTGTTGTGAGAGTACATGTACATATGTTTACATTTCAGCCCTCCATGGAGAACCAAAGTTCAAGACAGGAACCCTCCCTGGTTGGGGGCCTCATGCATGCAGCCTCATGCATGCTGTGTGAACGTGTGTGTGACTGCGTACCCTGGGTTGATCCGAGACTTCATCTGTCTTCTGGATCCCTTGACACTAAAAACTGAAGCTGTCCTTAAATTTTTTAGACTCTGGGTATGACTTACCTTGTCAGGTCATTAAAATAGTGTTTTCTGAATTCAACATCTTAAACAGTTTTGAGTAGGAGGGTACAACTTAACACCGTATGTCTATACAAATTTGAAACATCAATTCTCTCTCAATTGATTTGAAATAGAGCACAGAAAAACCACTATGAACCACTATGTGTAATTCAGGTTTTATTGCTTATTAATTATGTCATTCCATACAATTTTAGGTAGACAGACTGAGAAAATATGCTGGGAGCGTTAAACAAATGACGGCAATACAGATGAGGATGTTCAAGTGTGTTACAGAAGGTGGTCAGAGGCACCACTGCCACCATCACCCCCAAAATTTGTACATTTAATATAAAAAGAGTAAAAATAGTTCATTGGCATTTAACTAGCATTATTCTTTGTCATCTCTGAACCACAATAAGCCCGAACAATTTCAGAATTTTCAGAGCAAAACACGGTTTGTTCACTAGCAGATGCAGTGGTTTCAGTTTAAAAACAAGCAAACAAGTCAACACAACATAAACAAATGTACACAACCCCAAAAACAAATGTTGGCATGTTCCGGTGATCTTGAATTTCAATGTTACTGTTATATTAGTTCGAGATAAAGAATGTGATTCAGCTTTTGAAAATCAGATTACACTTCTTCACCGTAATTGTTTTTACTATGTAATTCAAACAATTTCAATGAGCCTACTGTTAACCCAGGAAAAGCCACAGATACAATCCAAACTGCTCTTATGCTAAGGACATGTCTTCGGAAGTTTTTTAAGTCTTTAAAAACTCAGACCCAAGCTGCACGAGTATAAATGGAGGAACCAACAGTCTACCCTTCTAGATAGAGCAGCAGTTCTTAGGGTTTTCAAGCCAGGGAGCAAACGCAGTCACTGAAAATCACACATGTCAGTAACTTCCTGGTTACAGGACACTAATAGTTAACCTTATTCATGATGAAAAAAAAAAAAAATCAATCCTGTACTATGATTCAGCATTTGAAAAACTTCTATGACTATTTCTATGAAGATGCTCAGGGTGAGAAATCTGTGTGGATATACTTGAAAAGAAGTAAGACTTGAAACGTGGTTTTATGTTAAACCATTGAGAAGATCTCTGTTACCAGACAACCACAAACACACAGTAACAGATAAACAGGAATTTATTAAAACCATTGTCTCCAACAATACAAAAATTAAATATTAAGGCATCTTTGACTCCCATCTTGGTGTATGCAGCAAAGAGAAATGTTTTCAATGGGAACCAACACTTCTGTTCAAATGCTTTTGAACGTATTTGGCAGATTTATTTTTATATTCTCCTACTCCACATACAGCTGGAAACTCTCATTGCCAAGTATGACCCAAATGAAGAGAAAAGTATAAACAGATACTTGTTTATTAAAAAGAAGTAGTTCACTCTTGAAAAATAAAAAGGAACTATAAAGAATGGTATGTATAAAGCTCAAATACTAGTATTTAAATTTCTCTGAAGCAATTTATGCTTCAGTAATTAAGAGAAAGAAGAGATGAAGACTTCATTAAGATGAGAAGTCTATTAATATGATCATGCCACAGAGTAACTGTTCACTCAGTATTCTCCACTGGGATGAGAGTTTCAAAAAGGCTTCCTGCTCCTTTAAAAAATATCACATCCACTAGGATAAGATCATATAAACTCACATTGATTATTTATTATTTCCCATTTTGTCCATTTACAAAGCTCAACCATCTTCAAAAATAATGCTAAACGGTAACATTTCACCTTTTATTAAGGCAAGTTTGTGAAAATAATTTAATACAACCAGATATCTTCATGAACTTTCAGCTTAAAACATTTTTTACATAAGAAACATACAAAAAAATTCTGTTTTATAAAAAGCCACCTCAATACCAGAAAAGAGTAATGAAGGATTTTGAACCCAGTTTACTTTTTAAAGGATGCTCTTCTCTTGTCTTCAATTCCAAGTACTATTCATCATCTTTAGAGCCAGTTTTGCTTAACTACAAAAAAAAAAGATAAAAGACATAGTCAACAAAATTAAGCTATCATATTATTTGAATTCATTATTTTCACTTAATATAAAAGAAACATATTTATGGTTGATAGAACAACAAACAGATAACAAAGTTCATGTAACTTATACCATCTACAGCTTTCACCATATTTAACTACTTTTTAACTTCAGGTTCAGCTACTCTAGGATTCTTTAAAAATACAATCTCAATAGAGCAAGGGGGGTGGGGGGAAATCCCTCAAAGCTTTCCAAGAAATAAATTGGAACCAAGAATATATGAAAGGTGCCACTTATAAAAATGAATGACATTCTATTTTTGTTTTCTATCAATACTCTTGAAATTTTAAAAAAATTGTGGCTAAAAAAACTACAAATGAACAGTTCTAAAAATGGGATAAAAATTTAAAATTGAAGGTCTTTTCTGATAAAAATCTACAGAACTTAGCAAATGGCAGAGAGGGAAGTTCCTAAAGAATACACAGGCAATTCTGACTAAAGACCCAGCCAAGAATTCCAAGTTGAAGCCAAACCCTGAGGACCTCAGAGAAATGTGGGAAGCTGTGAAAAGCAGAAACTGCTAATGTTCTTGAACATTGAGGCCCCAGCTCCTCTTCCCACTTTGATGATCTTAAAGAGCTTTTTTTTTTTTAATTTATGTTATACCTACTGCATTTGAATTGAAAACTGAGAAATTGAATTCATGTAAAAGTAACAATAAACTCATTCATTACATGATAACTGAGTAACATTTCTTAAATGAAAAGCTGCATTTTCTAAAACAAACTCATAAAACTTAATGTGAAGAATAGGAGTGTTTTACATTTTTTGTGAACTTCCTTATTACCAAGGTCCACAGAAGACAGCTGGATTTTTGCAAATCTGCTTCTACAGTAATGCTGGTATAATGGAAAACAGCTAACAAGGACACAGTATGAGTATGAAGAACAAGCTGAGTTAATATAAAAATGCACATAGATTCTAGACCTACTCACTACCTTAGAAAATTCTGGAGAATACAAGAATATAAAAGCACACATTTTATTAGTGCTCTAACAGAAGAGAATTAGTGATGGCATCATCACACTTCATGGAACCTCTGCTAAACACCACCGTTCACTTGTGGGAGAATGAGGAAAAAAGGCAAAGGACACCTTAATATTATGATGTAAATAGTTTTGACCTTGCAGACCCCCAGAGGGCCTCCAGGGTCTCCCAGGGATCCCAAGATCACACTAGGATACTACCAGCTTAGGGTAGCAGATTCTGAGTCTGGACCACACCTCTGTGGTAACTTCCCTCTTAAAAACAGCTTCGCCTGTCTCCCAAGATGACTGGATTTTTTAAATCTTAATTTCTATTTCTTGAAATTTTGATTTATATTAACAAGGACTCTGTGAAAAACAAGCAGAAAACTAAATTTCTGGAGTTAGGGAAGGAGAAGCACCATCTATCTTTGGATTAATCACATTACTTTTTGAGCCTGCGTGGAAAAGACACACTCTCACTGTGAAGCCTGAAGCTGGAAGCACTTGAAGGAGGGAAACAACTTAGCTGGTGAGGTACACACATGCATACCTAAGGACAACATGGTGTACCCATCAGGCTGACCATACACAAACATCCCGAATGTGGCGGCCCTCTTGCCCAGGAAGCAGACAAGAAATACTGCTCCTTTATTCCAACTGTGTTTGGTTCCCTAATTCCAGAATATATTTTTCTACTAGATTCTAGAAGCACAAATGATGATTTTAAATAGTTTGTATGGCAAATGTCTCCCATGGCTCAGATAGCTGACTTTCAAATAAACTTTAAGAATGTTCTGCTTAGGGCAGCCCCGGTGGCGCAGCGGTTTAGCGCTGCCTGCAGCCCAGGGCATGATCCTGGAGTCCCGGGATCGAGTCCCACGTCAGGCTCTCTGCATGGAGCCTGCTTCTCCCTCTGCCTGCGTCTCTGCCTCTCTCTCTCTCTGAATAAATAAATATAATCTTAAAAAAAAAAAGAAAAGAATATTCTGCTTATAAATACACAGATTTGTGGGTCCCGGTTAAAGTCTTAATCTTTAACTCCCCTCGGATCACATTAATGACTTCTCACAGCAGTCCTGGCACTAATTGGCATGCAAAATTCATCTTGTGAAGTCCTACAAAGAGGATTAACTAAGCCTCACTTTAATATATGGGAAGCTACAAATAAGAAAAAATATTGAGAGCAGCTGGCAAAAACCTTGGAAGTGAAAAGTAAACAACTTTAAGAGAAACAGAAATCCTTCTTGACAATGGTGGGGAATCTTCATCTAGGGTTTGTCTTTGAAAAAAAAAAAAACACAAAAAAAAACCACACTAATTTCCACTAAGAAATCAAGCATTGCTTCCTAGGATGAATACTATGAATCACAGGCATTTTCGTTCTTCAGATGCACTTATATAAACAGTTGTACATTATTGTACTTATACTTATAACTTAGATTCACAGATTTTTCCTTATTATTTTTTTTTTTTAAAGAAAATCTAGGGCTCCCGGCATGGAGCCTGCTTCTCCCTCTGCCTGTGTCTCTGCCTCTCTGCCCCCCTCTCTCTCTCTCTCTCTCTCTCTCTCTCCTCCTCTCATGAATAAATAAAATATTAAAAAAAATAAAAAATAAAATCTAATGCTAAGGTTGTAGGAAAGAATATTTCAAAATATTCTTGTAGTGAAAGATATTTAAAAAATACTTACATGCTGCAGTAGAAAAGGAAATACACATCCCAGAAAAATTCAAAGGTTGAGGCGGGAAAGAAATGAAACATATAAATTTCGTTATTTGATGGCGGACTTATAAGAATTTTTTGAAGCCCAGAAGAGAAGTGTTATATACCTTCACCACGTCCACCCAGTTCCATCCTCGAGGAAGTTCTCCTTTGTGATCTGGAGGATAAAAATGGTAAATTTATTTCTAAGACCAAGCAATAATTTTTATAGTAAATACTCTACTACTAAATCAGCTTTTATAGACTATCCTGCACAACAAATAGATTAAAATCTTAAATCCTGTATTTTCAAGCTGGAAAACTAGTTTATCATCATTGTGAACTGGAAGCACCATTCTCCTGGGGATACTTGCAAAGTAATTCATATGTACTCCCTTTTCATAGTTACCCTATTGCCATTCCTGGTGAAATCTGGTATTAGGGAAAAAAACATAGAAGTGAGGTGGAAATGCCAGGAAGAGGAACTAATCAATTTATTAATTTCATGCACTTGTACAATTTTACCGCTTTTTTAAGGTCTCAGATTATTTAAGCAAGAAACTGTGTTACTTTACTGCTTCATGAGGGTTTTTACACTACGAAGCTGGGTTCAAGCCAAGAGTTCTTTTAAATCAAGGTCTGGCCTTGAGACTAAGAGGTATCCTGGCCCACTTATTAGTAACCTTTGTGGTCTCATATAATAGTATTTAATCTAACATTGTTTATAATCTGGCAGGACTTTAATCTGTTGAGTGTTTGAAAACAAACTCATACTTTATATAAAAAATATATATAGCTTACAAAATAATTTCATTCTTATAACAGAATATTCAAACTTGGAGAATAATATAAAATTTAATTTTATATTAAAATTTTTAATTTTAATTTAGAAAGGCCTGATTTCCTTTATGCTTGATATATTTACATATATTTCATTTTATGAAATCTTTAAAATCGGCATTCAAAACCCATACATTAATTTTACACAAGGAAGACTAACCTAATGATTCCTTTTTTTTTTTTAAAGGTCAGTTTATTCATGACAGACAGAGAGAGAGAGAGAGAGAGAGAAAGAGAGAGAGAGGCAGAGACATAGGCAGAAGGAGAAGCAGGCTCCACACCGGGAGCCCAATGTGGGACCTGATCCCGGGTCTCCAGGATCACACCCTGGGCCAAAGGCAGGCACTGAACTGCTGAGCCACCCAGCAATCCCCTAACCTCATGATTCTTATAAGGCAGAAGCAGTATTAGTATTACTGGGCCTCAATACTAGATGCTAATGGCTCTTTTCTCCATGCCAATAAAAATTTTATCTCATTGTTTACTGGTTATAAGGAGCATGGGGGCAGATCACCAATTTCATTAAGTAAAACTTACCCACACAGTACCATCATGGTCCCATTAAAATTTTATTTAGAGTACAAGCTCCAAATCACAAAATCTTCTACCATAATTATAAAGAGAATGCCTTTTAATTGGGCATCATCAAAAAAATGGAGATGGGGAAATGATAAAGGGAATGATCATACGTCATTGTTTATGAAAGCAACAGCTAATGAACTGACAAAAATGCTACAGCATTAAAAAAGATTAGCCAAGTTCTAGAAAACGGATTGCAATGGTTGACAATTCATTGCTTCAGTGTTCATGCTTTACTGCTGCTTTGACATTAGGTATAATGGATTCCCAGATTTTTAATTTCACAAACCATTACAACTTCAAAAGTGTATTTTGAGGGCCAACATGGGGTTGCTATCTTTTCATTCTGCCACGTAGGACATTAAACAAAACATAAACCAAAAACTTGCCATCACTTTATAAAAGAAAGGGCATTATTTTAAACTTCCTCACCAAAGTAAAAGGATCAGTTCCTTTTTTTTTTAAATAAATTTATTTTTTATTGGTGTTCAATTTGCCAACATACAGAGTAACACCCAGTGCTCATCCCGTCAAGTGCCCCCCTCAGTGCCCGTCACCTATTCACCCCCACCCCCCCGTCCTCCTCCCCTCGGATCAGTTCCTTTCAATAAAGGGCAGCCTGTAACCTTATACCAAGAACACACACACATTCAGACATAAATATGCACGGATACTTTTGTGTATGTGTAAATAAATATATACATTTCCTTAACTGGAAAAACAGTTTACAGACTGATACCAATTTGCAAATTTTTAAATAGTGAAATCAAATATTATTGGTGATATAAGCTGGGATTTATAACTCTCTTTTGAAGGTCCATACAAAATGACTCTGATTTAGGAGACACAGAATTTATATTCTTAAATCTTATTCTAATTGTATAAATAAATCAACCACAGACAAAAATTATATTTATTGTCCTAAAATCTAATGGTATACCAGACTTCATTTCAAATGAAAGCTGTAGTTCAAAAATTTTTTAGAAATACACATATCTGCCATGGAGGTAAACAAATAGGAAAATCCCAAACATGTCAGAAAGGGTATAAAGTAGGATGCATTTTGTATGCTATTCTACTATTTTCCAACCTAAAGACTCATTCTATAGTTATTTTGCCACTCAGTTACCTTCTCCTCAAATGGCTATCTCTCGTGATAAAGTGGTAGTATATATTTTCAACATACATTTGTGACCTAACACAGTGTCTGATTGAAGTGTTCCAGGAACGAAGAGTAAAGAACTACTCTTCTAAACCGAAATATACTTATTAAACCCTCATATTATACTAAAAAGGAACCCATTTATCTGTTATAAAAAAAATAAACACAAACCTGTTTTATCTGCCAGCTTACGTTTCTGGGCTTTTGAAAGCTGTTCTTTTTTGTCTTTTTTCTTACTCGATGGGGCTGTATTAGGAGTTTCAACGGAGATGATACTGCTTATGGGGATCTAGAAAAAAGCAAATAATTCCTATACTGATGCCTTAGAACTTACTGAATTATACTAAATATGGCTACATCCTTCAGTGAGTTGACAATTTTTAGATAAGTGAAGCAAAAGAATCCTGTATTATAATACCCATTTATTAGATCAGGTACCATTAGCACATTTTTTTTTTTTAAAGATTTTATGTATTTATTCATGAGAGACACAGAGGGAGGCAGAGACACAGGCAGAGGGAGAAGCAGGCTCCCTATGGGGATCCTGATGCGGGACTTGATCCCAGGACCCTGGGATTATGAACTGACCCAAAGGCAGACGCTCAACCACTGAGCCATTCAGGTGCCCAGCACATTGATTTTATTCTCAGAGTTACCACAGAGGGACTTGCATAATATCAGTTCAACTGTTGTAACCAGCTCTCTGAGAAAGAAGACCTGATATCAGCATTATGTTGAAGCCCTGAAGTTCTAAGGTAATTTTACAATTCAGTTAATTTGCTTTATTTGGAAATTTAAATGTCTTTAGAAAAATCACAAGTGTCTACCTATAAAACCCTGGTTCCCTGAAGAAACGAAGAAAAATATTTTAGGGGGCGCCTGCATGGCTCACTCAGTTAAGTATCCAACTCCTGATGTCAGCTCAGGTCATGATCTCAGGGTTGTGAGATCAAGCCCAGTGTAAGGCTTGGAGCTCAGCGCAGAGTCTGTTTGAGGTTCTTTTTCCCTCTCCGTCTGCCCCCGCCCTGCACATGCGTTCTCTCTCCATAAATAAATAAAATCTTAAAAAAAAAAAAGAAAAATATTTTAATTTAGATTCATGTAGTCAGAGTGTGATAGACAAAATTTTAAATGCTTACTAGGTGCCCAGCACTGGTGTGGATGTTGTATATACAGTACTCATTTGAGCCTTACTACAATCTTAGGACATAGATACTACTATAATCCCTGTTTTACAAATGAAACCCAGCACCCTTTCCCTCTACCAAAAAAAGTCACACAGTAAGTGTGCAGTGAGGCTTTTCAGGGCCATGCGGTCTGGCCCATAGTCCACAAGCTTTGCTACCACCTTCTGCTGGTTCTCTAGCTGCTCTCAGTGCTCTCCTGTGTTCTGTCAGGAATGTGGAAGCCAGAACTGCTCAAGGACAAGACACACAGCCTCTGCTCTCAAAAAGCTTCCCACTTGGTTCACAGAGTCAACAGACTCTGACCACGCGAAGTCTTTTAGGACATGACTGGTGCAAAGGGGTCTAAATGCACAGGTGCCTATGATCATAAAAGATGATGATTTCCTAAAATACTTTTAGAAGTAAAATTGTTTTTTCCTATTAAAGTCTCTTTAAGCTGGCACTCTTTAGGTTCAAAGTGAACTGTGATAGGACCATTCACAACCAAAGAAGGCTCATGAAGAAAGTAATTTCAAATGTATTTTAGGACTATGTGAGAAATCCTCCACCTGAGCTTTATGAAGACATTAAATAAATGTAAATATTTGGTTCAACATCTCAGTTTTGGAGGGCACATGAAGTATTTTAGTCCTTTTTTTTTTTTTTTTTAAGATTTTATTTACTCATGAGAGACACACAGAGAGAGGCAGAGACACAAGCAGAGGGAGAAACAGGCTCCCTGCTGGGGGCCTGATATGTGGGACTCAATCTCAGGATCCTGGGATCATGACCTGAGCCAAAGGCAGACACTCAACCCGAGTCACCCTGATGCCCCAAGTCTTATATGAAGGGTAAGATCTAGAGGATTTGATTTCATTTTTAAAGTTAAATAAACACTAAGAAATCTAAAATTCACTCTTCTTATTTTAGCTCAGATGTAATTCATTTAAAATTTAACACAAAATTTTCCAATTTAAAAAAATAATAACTAGTAAAGATGAATTAGCAGAGTGAAAGCAATTCAAAGCATGAGCTCACCGTAGAATTCACAGGCTGGTGATTCTCCATGAACTGCTCTTTATTGTCCTTGGCGTACTCAAACAACGTGTAGGTCATGGCGGTCCCGAGATTGACCTCTACCGCTTCCTGTAACTTGGCTAATATGCTCTGCTTTACAGCCGATGATCTACAATGCACAAGAAGTATACCGCTGAGAGACACATGAGAGATAGCATTACCAAAAGAAAGAAAACCAATGAAAACAGAACATTACTCACATGGTGTTGTTAAAAAAAGCGTTCATAGATATAATTGGAGGTGTTTGGGGATATGTTTCTGTCCAGGAAATCTCTATTAAGAAGGCTTTGGGATCACCATTTTCACCTATCTGAAGAAAAGGGAAATCTTAGGCTTGTAAAAAGTGATACAAATCTTATCACTTGTAAAAAGTGATACAAAGACAGAATATTTAATTATAACTTTTAAAATGATGAATATTGCTGATGCTCATGATCAGATTGGACAAATAATACTCTGAAAAGTTCAGGGGTCCAGGCTAAGACTTGGCAGGGGGTGAGAGCTATATTAATAATAGAGTCTGACTTGATGTCCATGGCCTGTCTCTCCAACCAGCCCGCGAGCTTTTTTCAGTATCAAGACTGTCTTACATATATTTTTGTTTTCATCAAAGCTTTCTGAGGACAAAGATAAGACATCAATTGTGGAGGCTAGAAAGAGAACAGAGAAAATTAATAATCCACCAACTTAAAAGACCTAATCTTGCCCTAAGTTTTCTAATTGCTAAATCAGAAGAGGCGTTAAGAACAAGTAATTGATATGCATTAGCACAATCTCAAGAGATCAGAAAATGAAATGTAAAATTGAGAGAAAGAAGGAAAAGGTGAAGAGATAAGGTTTAGGAATACCTTAGGCTGCGTGAGAACTTTGAGGATCTATCCTATTTGCAACCTTCAAGTATGGAATATAGTATTATTAACTAAGGTCACCATGCTGTAAATTACATCCTTCTGACTTATTTTTTTTTTTTATAACTGGAAGTTTGTTATTTTTGACTCTCTTCCCCTGAATAATTTAAAGATGTCTTTTCTATTTTCTTTTTTTTTGCTCTCCCCAACTTTTTACTTAAGACATCTTTTTAGAAAGATTTTATTTATTTGACAGAGAAGGAGAGAGAGCACAAGCAGGGGGGAGCAGCAGAGGGAGAGCAAGAAACAGGATCCCCACTGAGAAGAGAACCTGATGTGGGGTCCATCCCAGGATCATGGCCTGAGCTGAAGGCAGACACTTAACTGACTGAACCACCCTGGCCCCCGTTTGAAACATTTTAATCTCAGAGAGAAACTGGAATAGGAGAGCCCTTACTGACATGTATCTTATTTACAAAATACCTTTGCTTCCATCCACTTGTCATTCTCTCCTACAGAATCACTTCCTCCCCTCCCCCAATGAGACAATGAGAGTGACTTTTTTTTTTCCCTTTGGTTTTGTTGAACTACTTGAATACACAATGAAACATCCTTAAATACTAATGGGGTAAATATCCTAAGAGAATCAGAATCCTCTATTAACAATACTACCATTGTCACACCCAAGAAATTCAACATGGATAGAGAGACATTATCTAATTCATTAATCCATCTAAAAAGTTCTCCATTCACATTGAAAAGTGTCCTTTAATAAATCACCTCCTCAACCCCACTGAGGTTCATGGATTACATTTGGTTGTCATATTTCTTTATTCTGCTTTTATTTAGAACAATCTCCAGCCACCCTGCCTACCTTTTAATCTTTCATGACAAAAAGAATCTAGGCCACTTTTCTTGTATAATGGCCCCAGATCAGGACTGTTTCCTGCACTCCAATTGGGATTTAATATTTTGGTAGGGACACTATACAGGTGATGTGGATTCATTCCTTTAGCATCATATAAGGAAGCACATAAGATCTCCGGGAACCATCAATGGTTATACTTAGCTTGATCACTTGGTTAAGGTGATACTCTTCAAAACTCTTCAAAGTTAAGGTACCTCTCCCATTTTGTAATTAACAAGTAATCTTTGGAGTGACACTACAAAACCCAGTGAATATATTGTTTCTCAACAACTTTTCAACCAAAAGGTTTTAGCATCCATTTATGAGCCTTGCCTGAAATGATCAACATGCTGGTGGTTGTAAAATGGTGATTTTTCTAATAAAATTATGGAATGATTCATGAGTCAGCATCTCATCCTTGCATGGGGTGATCCTAATCTCCTCTGTAATATTTTTAGTATTTATTTTTTAGATAATAGCAATAGATTAAAAATTTTTTCACCCCAAACCATGACTTGATTCTATCTTGTTCTATCCATGGATTCACCTTTACTCTCCAACCACTAAGTTTTTATTCTCTCCCCCTCACCTTCAATCACAAGACACACCAATATAAGATGAGGCTTAGAAATTATGTCCAATAAATGTAGGGACGTGTTGATATACACCTACATAAGTCGATGACATAATCAGTTTATTGCCTGTGTTCCAAATACGGAGATAATGAAAAAGTGATAAAAGTAACTTACTTCATGCAATCACTAAGTCCTTACTCAAGGTGTGTGGAGAAACAAGGTGCCCATGTCTCTTACAGTGCTAGGTACAGAAGATATAAAAATAGAGGTAAGATGGTTCCTGTCTTCAAGGGGAGCAGACATTTAGGGAACTCGCTAAATTGCGGCATGATTAGAAGTCTAAAAGTGATCAAAGTATGAAGAAACGGGGAATGGCCAATTCTGCTTTGAAGTCAAGGGAGAGCTAGGAGACTAGACCCAAACATGTCACAGAGAAGCCTGGGTTAGGCAAGGAGAAATGGACTGGTTGAGGGATGTGAGGTGGGGGGAAGAGCAGATGATGTGTCCACAGGCAATCTGAAAACGCAGGGAAACGTTCAACGGGCTACTATGTGTGACAGATGGTGGTGGCTTGGAAAGTCTGGAGAGCCAGTTTGAATTAAATAGAAGGGCCTTGAGTATTAAGCTAAGGAATTTACTCCTTTTTCTATTGGCAGGAGAAACCCTTCTAAGTGAAGGAATGGGAGAACTAATCCTGCGTTTCAGAGCTCTAACTAGTAGTCTGTGGAGCACAAATGGTGAGGCATGGGGGAAAATCATTTAGAAGATTCCTAAGCCAGTCTGCTAAACAGGAACCGAGGGGTCTGACGAGGACCCAGCTGGACCTGTGCCTTGGTCCTCTGATTCGCAACACAAACGAGGTTTCCAAACCTCATGTTTTATTCTCTTGACATCCATCCTGCGGTCATATCAGAGTATCCAGCCTGTAGGACACACACAGGCATCCTACCATGTTCTGTATACTGCGCTCAACAATAACTGCTGGAGTTTAGCACAGGTATTTAGGAAAGTATGGGGCCATTCTCAATCTCCCATTTGCTAAGGGGAAAGTGGCAATGGCTGGCGAAGTCTGGGGAGGCAGCTGGATTCAAATTGAAGGGCCTAGGACTTAACTCCTGTGTCAACCTTGGCCATTAAGTTTTGTTGTTGTTCTATCCATGGAGTGGTGCAAGGGCTGTTGAGCTTAAAGGGGAATTGAGAAGAGCTAAGCAGAGGGAGTATCTAAAGAAAATAATAATAAAGAATTTATTTTCTGTAACTGTTTATACTAATGACACATAAGGATCACTTGTCAGAATTTATTTTAAATGATGATGTAAATAACCTTTCTCATACCACTACTTATAATCATCTGGAGAAATAGTTTATGTGATTTTTTTTTAATTTTTATTTATTTATGATAGTCACACACACACAGAGAGAGAGGCAGAGACACAGGCAGAGGGAGAAGCAGGCTCCATGCACTGGGACCCCAACGTGGGATTCGATCCCGGGTCTCCAGGATCGCGCCCTGGGCCAAAAGCAGGCGCCAAACCGCTGCGCCACCCAGGGATCCCAAGTTTATGTGATTTATTTACAAAACGAGATACTGGTACTATGTCAGGTTGAGAACAGTTATGCACAAACTCCCTCTTAAAGAATTTGTGAAAAATATTCACACGTGTTGGTTAATATGGAATTAGGAAAATACCAATTTTTCTTGACTCTGTTATTGGGTGGGGAAGATACGAAGCTTGGAATAGAGACGTGGATTTTAACTCTAGTACTTGTCAGCACCAGCTGGGAAAGCTTGGAAGTTATGATTGAGAGATTCTATCTGTAAGATTAGAAGGCAAGAAGCTTTCTTCCATTTCTAACATTTGATAATTCTGCCACAATAAAAACAAGCTCATCTTAGTTTTTAAAAGTTTCGGCATTGTTTTCAAAAGTTAAAAACAACTGATGTTGCGGTGATGAGCTTTCATTCAAATGCTTCAGAAAAACCCGAAAATGTAATACAATTAAACCATTAAATTTAAATAACAAAATCGTTTAAAAAGTAAGAACATTTTTAGCAAGCTTCCATCTTTTCTAGCAAAGTTGTAAGGGCTCTTCTTCATGTCATGTCTTACCCTATATTGAAATGAAACGGGACTCAATTCCCGGAAACTTTCATCCCCTTCATAAATAGAACGTAGGGCTTCCAGTTCCATCTGAAAAAAAAAAAAAAAAAAAAAGAATCAGATGAGTTTTGTTTGGTGGTATAAATGGATTAGAAATAGAGGATCTTTACTTTCTGATTCAAGCTCACTCAACTATGTAAAACTTAGCTACCTTATATGGCCCTTGATGTTTATAACATGGGTATATAATGTATGTAACATATGCGCCTAGAGTAACACAACAATAATACTAATACTACTTTAAGATGATGTGCCAGGCACTCCTAAGCATATCACAGGACACTATCTCACTAATTCTCACATCAATCCTATGAAGAGTATCTTATTTTCTCCAAGGAGGAAAATAAGAGTCTGTTGAAAGCAACTCTAGAGCACGTGTCCTTGATCACTCTGCTAAAGAGCAGCCTGGGGTGGAGAGAATATTAAACTTGGAGATGAGAAATACAAACCATAGTAACTCCCCACTATTCACATGTATTATTTATATTTTTAATCCTTCCCACAGAATGATGTGAAACTTGAAAAAACACATAACAAAAAGAACTTTAAAAAATAAAAATGATGGTTAGAAAAATGTTTGACAAGGATCTATCCAAGATGGAAAAAAAGGGACTGCAAGAGGAAATGTAACTAATGGTCCTTGCCTGGAAATATTTCTAGAACACCACGGGCTGACAAATGAGAAGACTCAATCTCTGTTATGATTGCTGATGAATGCCTGAGAAGAGAAGCAAAGGCAATACTTGGGTACAGGTTTTAGTTTTTAGGTGCACATGATGCATTCTACAAACTAAAGACAGACAAAATTTTAGAACAGACTATTATTAATAGAGAAATAGTTCATGGGGGCCTAGGAGGATAAAGAGCAGTAGTCCCTAAGCCTTGGCAGGCATTTGAAAACCAAGATAAATGTAAGCAAGCCTTCTTAGAGAAGATAACTTGATTAATGGTACATCAAGGAAGGGCACAGAACAGTCTACCTGGGCTTCTCTTGCTACCTTCCCATGAAAAAAAAAATACAGTTCAAGTGGATTTAAGAACAATCAAGATTAGATTAGAAAGAGCCACCTTATGCAAAATATAGTGTTACTTCTCCCGCCCTTAAACCTTTCCTGTATTTTAACTAATGAGTACGACAGGAACAAAATTGAAGGCAGGGTTATGAAACTGATGAATGAGAATTTGAGGGGACAGTGAATCATGCTGGTGGCACAAAAAGAATTCAAAATGTCCTTGAAAAACCATATAACGAGATGAAATTTTACAAGTGGAAGAACTTTCGATTCCTAAACATACAAGTAGAGAATGAAAAACAAATTGCTTTGTACAGAGTACTTGAAAAGCTGTAACTGACAATAGCTGTAGAAAACTGATGCTACAATTTTATTATTTTTTTTAAGATTTTATTTATTCATGAGAGACACACAGAGAGAGAGAGGCAGAGACTCAGCCAGAGGGAGAAGCAGGCCCCATGCGGGGAGACCCATGTGGGACTTGATCCCGAGTCTCCAAGATCAGGCCCTGGGCTGAGGGCAGCACTAAACTGCTGAGCCACCCGGGCTACCCCGATGCCACAGTTTTAAAACAGGACATAAACTTATAATCTGTCCACAGAAACACAATTCCAAGACTATAAAGGAACAACAACAACAAAAATGGACATATGGAAAAAAGCCAAAAGGAATCATTTAGTATGAGAAGAGGACACCTGAAAACCTGGGCAGAGGACTGATTTCAAAGACCTGAAAATCAGTCATGTGGAGGAAGAAACGGAATTATACTGTTAAAATGAAGATCCCTAGAAGAAGGGGAGGTGGGTGGGGGGGATGGGGTGACTGGGTGACAGGCATTAAGGAGGGCACATGATGAGAGGAGCATTGGGTGTTAAACTGTATATGCTGGCAAATTGAATTGAAATAAAATCTAAAAAGACAATGCTGCATAAACAACAACAAAAAATAAAATAAAGATCCCTAGGCCTCACAGGAATTCCAATTCAGTAAACTTGAGGTACAGTGCAGGCACCTGCTTTTCTCACAACCACCCAGATGACTCTAAGGCAGTGCTCCATTGGGCCAAACTTTGAGACACAGGACGTTACAACGCTTCACTGTAAGAGCTTGTTGGTGCCTGGACTCAGAAACTCACTTAGCAAGAACAGTTTAGAAGGGATTTCAGAGATCGACCAGCTTGCTGGACTTGGGGTCCTTTTAACTTCCATTCCAGGGATCCCATCACATCTAAAAGGGCTGACTTGCAGGGCAGCCCGAGGGGGAGGGCTGAGCCGTTTAGCGCTGTCTTCAGTCCAGGGCCTGGGCCTGGAGTAGCAGGATCCAGTCCCACGTCGAGTTCCCTGCACGGAGCCTGCTTCTCCTCTGCCTGTGTCTCTGCCTCTCTCTTTCTCTCTCTCTGTGTGTGTCTCTCATGAATAAATAAATAAAATCTTTAAAAAAATAATAAAAGGACTGACTTGCAACAGACATTTTCTAAACCGAGAGTGAATTACTCATCCAGCAGACCTGGATTCTTGTCCTGATTCTACCCCCGTGCTCCCTGTGCAGCCCCGCAGCGTTCACTTTACCGTGCAAACTCTCCTCCTTCACCTGTGCACATTACACACTTAGACGGTCCCCCTGGAGCTGACCCATATCATTCCCCTGACCAAAGGATTCGGTGTCAAAGTGGCAGTCCTCGAGAAAATACGTGGGGCACAAACCATATGGTGCCGCCGGTTGCACGTATGCTCAGAACAGACTTCCTCTCCCCTGGACAACTAAGTCCCAGATGGAGACGCCATCCCAACAAACAAAAAAGTTAAAAAAAGGCCAGACACGGGGGGCCGCGAAGTGTCATTCTTTTCCTCCCCCGCCCCCCCCAGGAAAACTGAACTCTCTCCCTACCTGCCAATAGATTTTTAAAATGTACAGGTGGATCAGATTCCAGGCAGCTTCGCTCAGGACCTAAATAGCGCTAAATAAGAACAGTGGGGATTGAAGGCGAGCCAAGAGCCCTGGGTCGCCTACCAAGGACACCCGTCGTCTGTCCTATTAGGGAGGCGCGGGGCCACCCGCCCACCCCGCACCCCGCAGCCCCGGGTTGCAACACCGAAGACAACAGGGGAGGCGGAGGCGGAGGCGGAGGCGGAGGCGGAGGCGGACCCTTCCCGCGCCCGCCCGCGCGCCCGCCCGCCCGCCCGGCCGGCCTCTCCCCCAGGAGCAGGCTCGCTCCGCCGCAGAGGCGAAGGCACGTGCGGGGCCGCGCGTCTCGGCGTCGGCTGCCGGCCGGGCCTCCCCCAGGGCCAGCACGGGGAAAGGGGCGTCCAGCCAGTGGGACTCACCTCCTGGTCCTCGTTGGCTCCCATCGCGCCGGTCGCGGGGACGCCCTCCCCACCCCCGGGAGGGCGTTTGCGAGGGCGAGACAGCGAGAGCAGCGTGGGCGGCCCCGACCCTTCCTCCGCACTCTCCGCGCCCCGGGGCTGCGGGAGGCACACCCCTCGCACCGCGGACAGAGCCCGGCGCGCCACCCGGGCCTCCCGGGAGCGCGAAGCCGCCTGCGGGGCGTCTGTGGGCGGGGAGCCGCAGGCCGCCGAGGGTGGGGCGCCGGCGCCGCACGGCAGCAGCCGAGGCTCCGCCTCCTCCCGCTTCTCGCTTCTCCTATTGGCTCCCCCTGTCCCCACCCCCTTAGCCCACTTCCGACGTTTTGCGCGCAGCGTTAAGTTTCCGGGGCCGCGGTTGGCGTAGAGCGCTGTCACTCACGCCCGGAAAGTGCTTCCTGTGCGTGCGCAGGCGGGGACCGGGAAGTCTCGCTCGCGGGTACCGGCGGCGGGGCGGTGGCGGTAGGGACGGGCCGCGGCGTTTTGGGGCGCCCGTCCTAGCCCCCCCCACCACCACCCCCGCTCTCCCGGCTGGCGGCGACCGGCTACAGCTGCAGCGGGCCCGGGGCGTGCGGCCTGGGTGAGTCCGGCCCCCGGAGACCGCCGCGGGAGCGAGCTAGAGCTCTGAACAATGCTGGTGTTTCGGGGGTGGGGGAGGGCTGCGTTTTCCTTCTGCTTCTGCAGGTGCAATGCCTGGCATTTGTCGTCCAGCTCGTAAAGAGAAGACGCACCTCTTTCTGGGGCCTTCGGGGGGCGGGGGCGGAGGCGGGGGTACGGTAGCGTCTGCCTGGAGGGCGGCAGCGTTATTGTTGGCTGTGCTCATTGGGCCCCCGGGGCCGAACGCCGAGCCCCCGGGGATGGTATCTTCCGAAGGAGGGTGGCGGCTTCACGTTCTCAGCACCGTCCCTGCCCCGAATTGTCATTCCTCCTGGGATCGTTTTTGTAGCCCTTCCTGTAGCCTTGCGTACTACATACACCCCCGAATCTCCATTAATTAATCTCCACGTTGCCCCCCCCTTTTTTTTTTAACCTGCCACTTTGGTGAGGTCGCCTTTCTTTGCAATATGTCATCCTTTTCAAGAACCTTCCTTATGATTTTCCATGTTAGCTTCCAGTTTACTCCTCTCGCGTTACATGATCTCTCCCATCCAGAGTGTTCTCGACTTTTGCACCTTGTTCCAGGTCGTATAGCTCGTTAGTGGCTCCACTGGCTTCTCCCAGGAGATCTGGGAAGTTCTACAGGCCGTCCTTAAGATCCACACACCTCGGGGCAGCCCGGGTGGCTCAGCGGTTGAGCGTCTGCCTTTGGCCCAGGTCATGATCCTGAGGTCCTGGGATCGAGTCCCATGTCGGGCTCCCTGCATGGAGCCTGCCTCTCTCTCTCTCTCTCTCTCTCTCTCTCTCTCTCATGAATAAAAAAAAAAAAAAAAGATCCACACACCTGTCCTTCGCCGGTGTTCTTCCCTTTGCTGTAGAATAAACAGTACCGTCGCAAGGGTCAAAAGCTTTTAAAGTAGTATGTGGCAAGAATTTCCCATACGGTTTTCATACGGTAATTTTGGGGACAGAACTGCAGTAATCTCAGCTGGGCTGTCCATTGTGCTAGCCAAGTAGCCACTTCTGACTATTGAGCATGTGAAATTGGCTAGCCTGATTTGTGATGTGCTGTCAGCGTGGAATACACATCATCAGATAATGAAGACTTAGTACAAAAAAAAGAAAAGTATCTCATCAATAACTTGTATTAATATCGAAGTGTTAATATTTTGGACGTATTGGTTAAATAGAAAAATAGAATCTTGTTAATGTTAATTCCACCTGTTTCTTTTTTAATATGACTAGAAAAATTTAAAATTACGTGGCTCATAACTTCGGAACAGCTCTGTGATTTAGAGCTTCATAAGTCATTTCCAGGTCCCCTTATTTCCACTCCATGTTCAGGGACCACAGCTAATTCTCATGAGCCTCTGGGTTTTTTAAATTTATTTATTTATTTTTTAAAGATTTTATTTTTATTCATGATAAAGGAATAGAGAGGGAGGCAGAAACAGGGGAGCCCGACGCGGGACTCGATCCCGGGACTCCAGGATCACAACCTGGACCAAAGGCAGGTGCCCAACTGCTGAGCCACCCAGGGATCCCCAATGTCTGGGGTTTTTAAATGAGGGAATGGATCTTTAGGGCTCTAATCTAGATTCTTTGGTATAAAGCACAGTTCCCCATATAATATGTTTTGACCACCTCTTTTTAATGTTCACCCCAAATTCCTTAGAACTAGAAATTTTCTTTCTCTGAACTTATGATCCTTTGTCCTCATAGCATAATCCTGTCTGGAAAATGTCTGCTTAAATAGTTCTAAAACTTCTATGTCTTGTTGACATTTATCATTTCTGATAAGCTGCCCATTATTGCTTCAGTATGTAAATGTGAAAAGCCTAATGATCTTTTGAAAATTAACTTTTCAGTTAAGAAATTTTTGGTTATCAAGTTAGTAGCATAGTGCTTTTCCCTTTTCATAGAAATTATATTTTGAGTTTAAATGATATACTAGTAAAGATCACTTTTGAAAAGAAACTTGGTACATGATTTTGGAAATGAGAAATGATCTTTATAATGGCAGTTTTGTTTGGAATAAGCACATTTTTATGTAATTGCTTTTCTAACGTTAGTGTGTGGTAGGATTTATTATAGACCAATTCTCAGCTGAAGGACACAGTATAAAATCCCTCCTACAGGTTTTCATTCATTGTTAGTTTTTCTCTTCTAGATTTTCTTCTAAATAGTACACTTTACATTAACTACGGAGAAGTGAAAAAACATAGCTATTTAGAGAACTAGCATATTAGTTTAATAATTTCCCAGGAATTCAGAAATTAGATGCTAGTGATTACAGAGAAATTAGCGATAGTTGTATTTATTGTGTACGTAAGACAGCAGTTACTTTTCTTTATATCAGAAATGGGTCATGAGACCTATTTTAGTTTGATCACCTTCCTGCTTTCTTGGTCTGCTCATCCCACAGTTCAGTTCTGTGTGCATTTGAGATGTTACTGAAAGTACTGATTTGACTTGAAGTTGACTACAACCTTTGTAACAAGAGATTTTTAAAATATATAATACCGATAGTTATTCAAAAATTGAAGCTTTCCATTTTGTTCCCCAAATTTTTATTTGCTCAGCAGTTTGCAGACACTGGAAAAGAGTCTTGCCTTTTTGTAATGTTTTATAAATGGTGAAGGCTCCTCTATTAGATATGGATATGGGCTTTTAAAACATTTTTAACATATTTACATTTGTATTTCAGATTTTTCTTGACGCCTCGAACATGAGCCCCACACAGTGGGACTTCCCCGTGGAATTATGTTGTCGGCCTATGGCTTTCGTTACCCTTACGGGCCTGGATGTAGTTTATAATGCTGTTCATCGAGCTGTCTGGGATGCTTTCTGTGCCAATCGGAGGGCTGATCGGGTGCCAATTTCTTTCAAGGTGCTCCCAGGTGACCATGAGTATCCCAAATGTAGACCTAAGGTAAAGACATGATTGCATGGGGGCTTTTCCTTCTCTTCCTCTTTTCCACTGTATGCATGGATACCTTTTTCTTTTCTAATGCCTGTGCTGGAAAACCCTGAGTTTTTTTGTTTGTTTGTTTGTTTGTTTTTTGTTTTTTTGAAATAAGATTTTATTTGTGAAAAAGAAAGAAAGAGACAATTTTTTTTTTAAAGAAATTGAAATACAATACTTGGAGCCACTTTAGTCTACAAATAGTCCCAACCCTGGCCACCCAAAGTATGATTCTGGGAACAGTAACAACACCTGGGAACTTTTTAGAAATTAGGAATCCAAGATCCCTACTAGACACACATTATTTGGGAATCTGCATTTTAACAAATTCCTGGGTCATTTACATACATATTAAAGTTTGAGACAGATAGGTCTAGACAGTGGCCAAACATCTACTTATATTCCTTAGTCTCTTTATACACTTGGAATTATTGCAAAGTCAGGAAAAAGCATAAATACGCTTTGGAAAATGTCAGGCCTCCGGGAGAGATGGGGGGAAGGATAGGGAACAGAAGGGTGAGGGGTGCTGAGCTGGGAGAGAGGAGTCATTGCCAAGGAACACTGGTCTTCTGGCATCTGACCTGTGGGAAGTAGAAGGTGCTGCTTGCTACTTCTTTGATTCTTTATCTACTGTTGTCAAAGGCAGAATTATTTTTCTTTGAGAAACCTCAGAGGTAAAACCTTGGGTTTATCAAAGCTATGGTTGTAGTGATGCACTAAGAAAACCCAAGACTTTTTCATTATGTAATACACTAATAGGTATATTTAATGACAGCTATTTTTTTAACCCCAGAGGAAAGATTACTTTATAATTATCATTTACAATTATAATGGATTTTCTTTTTTTTTGCATTTGCTTAAAACCCTTCGTAGTCTACATTAAAGCCCTCTCTAAAAGGAAGGTCTCACATTCCCCATTTATCATTACCAGTATCATTATGGAATCCATGGCCTTTGCAGTTTGGTTCAGTTTCACACACATCATTTGAGCACTTGCTTTGTGTTAGGTACTAGGAATTATGCAATAGACTAGTGACAGAAATTTAAATAAGACATGGTCTTACAACATTTCTGTATTTAAGAGTCATCCTTCATTTTTTCTTCTCTTCCCAAGTAAGGCAAATGTGGCCCTGGCAATATGTCTTTGAAACAAATGGAGCCATTTTGGCTCTTATGTCATCTCTGTAAGCCTGAATTACCTCATCTTAAAGAGGTGTCATGTGTATGTCGAATGAAATGAATGAGCACAAAGTGCTTGCCATTCAGTGACAGGTGGCTTTTGCCTGCTGCTGTTAGGAGTGCGTTCAGCTTTTGCCTATGTTTGCAGAGAACTTCATACGAATGGTACATTCCTAAGGGGATCTTAAAGACCGGCTGGATGAATAAACATCTGAATCTGGTGCCTGCCCTGGTGGTTGTGTTCTATGAGCTGGACTGGGATGAGCCTCAGTGGAAAGAGAAGCAGTCTGAGTGCGCTACCAGAGTGGAAATAGTCAGGTACGGTCTGCTCCGTCTTCGCCATGTATCAGGTGGTCCCGAGTAGGTTGCATGTGTCTTGTTTACTAATATTTATTCAAAGCAGCAGTGTTCATTTGGAAATTGCTGACCTCCTGTGACCCTTGTTTGGTTCCTGACAGGTAGCTTATGTGAATACTTAAC